TTCTAAGCAAAAAGAACAAAGCGGGGGGCATCACACTACTGGACTTCAAACTATACTACAAAGCTACAGTAATCAAAACAGCATGGTACTGGTACCAAAACAGAGATATAGACCAATGGAACAGAACAGAGGTCTCGGAGGCAACACAACATATCTACAACCACCTGATCTTTGACAAACCAGACAAAAACAAGCAATGGGGAAAGGATTCCCTGTTCAATAAATGGTGTTGGGAAAGCTGGCTAGCCATGTGCAGAAAGCAGAAACTGGACCCCTTCCTGACAACTTACACTAAAATGAACTCCAGATGGATTAAAGACTTAAACATAAGACCTAACACCATAAAAACCCTAGAAGAAAATCTAGGCAAAACCATTCAGGACGTAGGTGTAGGCAAGGACTTCATGACCAAAACACCAAAAGCATTGACAACAAAAGCCAAAATAGACAAATGGGACCTAATCAGACTCCACAGCTTCTGCACAGCAAAAGAAACAATCATTAGAGTGAATCGGCAACCAACAGATTGGGAAAAAATTTTTGCAGTTTACCCATCTGACAAAGGGCTGATATCCAAAATTTACAAAGAACTAAAGCAGATTTACAAGAAAAAAACTAACAAGCCCATTCAAAAGTGGGCAAAGGATATGAACAGACACTTTACAAAAGGAGACATACGTGAGGCCAACAAACACATGAAAAAATGCTCATCATCACTGGTCATCAGAGAAATGCAAATCAAAACTACATTGAGATACCATCTCACGCCGGTAAGAATGGCGAACATTAAAAAATCTGGAGACAGCAGATGCTGGAGAGGATGTGGAGAAATAGGAACACTTTTACACTGTTGGTGGGAGTGTAAATTAGTTCAACCATTGTGGAAGACAGTGTGGCGATTCCTCAAGGACATAGAAATACAAATTCCATTCGACCCAGCAATCCCATTACTGGGTATATATCCAAAGGATTACAAAGCGTTCTACTATAAGGACACGTGTACACGAATGTTCATTGCAGCACTGTTTACAATAGCAAGGACCTGGAACCAACCCAAATGCCCATCGACGATAGACTGGATAGGGAAAATGTGGCACATATACACCATGGAATATTATCCAGCCATCAAAAACGATGAGTTTGGGTCCTTTGTGGGGACATGGATGAACCTGGAAACCATCATTCTCAGCAAACTGACAGAGGAGCAGAAGATCAAACACCGCATGTTCTCACTCATAGGCGGGTGTTGAACGATGAGAGCACATGGACACAGGGAGGGGAGCACTACACACTGGGGTCAGTTGAGGGGAAATAGGGGAGGGACGGTGGGGGGTGGGAAGCTGGGGAGGGATGGCAGGGGGAGAAATGCCAGATGTGGGTGATGGGGAGGAAGGCAGCAAATCACACTGCCACGTATGTTCCTATGCAACAATTTTGCATGTTCTTCACATGTACCCCAAAACCTAAAATGCAATAAAATAAATAAATGGGAAAAAAAATTACTTTTATGCAAATATAAAAAAAAAGAAAAGTCTGTCTACTACCTCTATTGTCTTGCTACTCACTCATCTCCTTAATTGCCCTCAGTCTATTTTGCCTCCTTACCACTTTACTAAAACTGCACTCCTAAAGATCACCTTCCTTAAATTTATAGCAACATTTCGTAATGGTCATAACCTTTTTGAAAAATATCACTCCCTTGGAGATTCAGACCAGCCTGAGCAACATGGCAAAACCATATCTACAAACAATACAAAAATTAGTGGGGTGTGGTGGTGAATGCCCGCAGTCCCAGATACTTGGGAAGCTGAGGTAGGAGGTTTACCTGAGCCCAGGAGGCAGGGGTTGCAGTGAGTCAATATTGCACCACTGCACTCCAACCTGGTTACGGAGCCAGATCCTGTCTCGAAAAATATATATATATATATTCCTTCAGCCTGAAGTATCCTGGTCCTTGTGTGGGAAATATCTTAGTCTAAGATCTCTGTCTGCTCAAATTCTCACATTCGTAATCCAGATGTTTATAATTATCACCAATAAGTCTTAAAGCCAACGGCGGCTGAGGCTGAAACAGAATGACACTTCCATATAAAGATGTTTTATTGGTTGTTGTTCCTCCGTCTTGTCTTCTCACCAGCCTGTTCTTGACCTCTCCATATTATAAACATCTTAGTTAGGTACTTGGTGACTGACACCTTTGAACATTCGCTTTACTCTGCTCTACCTGCCTGAATTTGAATTCATTTTAGATAAACACAGTGTTGTACCCTCTAACATTTATAAATTTTTAAATTTATTGTTTATCTAGCTTTAAACTATTCTTTCCCAAATCCTCAAGCATAATGTATGACTGGTATCTTTGTTCTGGTATCTTATCTTTTCCCTTTCACTTGCTACGTACCATAACATGGTACAAGAAGCATATAAGGAGAATCCATGCAATAAATGACTAACAAATCTCCTGTCGAATTTTTTGACTGTTCCTTTTGGTTCACCTCTCCTTATTCTTTTTATTTAACTTTCAACCTGGTAGATTCAGAGTTATAATCTCACTACTTTGTTCTCTCAATACCACTGGTTCTTAAATTTTGGTGTGCATGAGAATTCCTGAGACATTTTTTCAAATTATAGACATGCCCAGATTTTATCCTGAACCTAAATGAATCAAAACCAACAATGGTAGGGCCTGGGCATCTGTATTTTTAACAGGCTTCACAGGTGATTCTGATTTTTTGGGAGGGTGGGGGATGGAGTTTTGTGTGCAATGGTGCGATTTCGGCTCACTGCAACCTTGAACCTCCTGAGTTCAAGCAATTCTCCTGCTTCAGCCTCCCGCGTAGCTGGGATTACAGGCATGCACCACCATGCCCGGCTAACTTTTGTATTTTTAGTAGAAACTGGGTTTCACCCTGTTGGCCAGTCTGGTCTTGAACTTCTGACCTCAGATGATCCACTTACCCAGGCCTCCCAAAGTGCTGGGATTACAGGCGTGAGCCACCACGACCAGCCTGATTCTGATTTATACCAATATTTAAGAACCACTGCTCCTTATTTTTTCTTTATTTCTATTTTTTCCCTCAAAGACCTCAACTACTCTTCTGGCTTCAACTACCACCACTGTATATATAATAGCCAAATCTACAGGCTCAATCCTTACCTTTCTTGTAAGCTCTAGTCTCCCATCTCCAACCTTACTGTCATCTCAAATGCAACAAGTCTAAAACTAAAACTTAAAAGTCATTCATCTACTTCTGACTTTCTTGTTCATTGTTCCATAATTCTTTCAAATAAATAATAAAGAATTGTAGCTTATACATCTTCATGACTTATTTCATCACATAGCATAATCCAGGCACACTGAATTTGTTTTTAAGGAAACAAAATATCCTCCAATAAACATATTTTTCGAATAAAATTATTTTAAGTTGGAGGCCTCTTGCACTAATAACCTATTCTCCACTATATCAAAAAAAAAAGTATGATACACGTAACAAGCACCCAAATATCTGATTAAGAATTGCTATGTGAAATGAGACAGTACATGGGATTCTCTTCTTTACTGTCTCTTGTCCCCTCTCATCCTTCCCTTTTCTTATCTCTTGCCTCTCCCTCTTCATCTCTCCCCTCTTGCCTTTCTCCTCTCCTTGCTTCCCCCTTTTTTCTCCACTTTCCTCACTTTCCTTACTGCTGTTTAGTATTTTTCCCTCTTACACACCCCCCTTTTTGTTTTTAACATTCTCTTTTCTCTTCCCTAGCTCTCTCATCTCCCTGGCCCTAACCGCATCAACACTGTGTGATTCTGCCCTTATCCCTTGCCTTCCCTAAAAAAAGAAAGAAAGAAATGACACAGGAAGAGGCTGCGATAGCCACTTCATCCACCATATCCGTATTTGATAAGCACTAAACAGCTAAAGCAATATTTCTTCATATGCAGAAGGGTAGGAGTTAAGAATTAATGCACTTTAATATCACACGGTTCACCTATGTACTAAGGTTTCTTCCACTGATCAATTCCTAGCTCTTAGCTCCCCATAACTACAGGATCTCCTGGGAGCAATGATATCAATTTATCTAAGAGTTAAAGAGCTAGAACTGTTCTCTAAACATGCTAATAGAGTGGACTCATAAGTATATTATTGATTATATTAAGCACAATTACCCTATGTCTACATGGAATTTGTGTACAGTTTTGTTTATATCCACAAAGATAAATAATAGTAAATTCTATTTGTTGCATACAGACAAAAGTTATTTGTCTTTACAATGTCAAGCAGTCCAGAGGTTCACCCTTTGGTTTGTTACTTCAATGTATCCTTTATGGGCAAATACTTCCCATAAATGCATTTGCTGTCACTATGCCTGTTGAAAATCAATAACTGTCAGCACACTAGACTTTGCCCATTTAGCTAAAGCACTAGAACAGTGACAGACAGTGGACCACATTCAAAGCATCCAAGAAGATGAGTTTACTTTGAGATTTTTGGTTTTTGTTGCTGTTTTCTCTCACAGGTAGAAAGAATTTCTGTAGTTTTTCTCAGTAACTCATTCCAATGTTTATCAATCCACCTCCTGAGGAAACTATTCTTTTAAAATCTAAATCTGTCACATGGCAACACTTATCACTCTATTATTAATAGAGGGGAAACTACTATTTGATGGTCCTTCAGAACCATGAAGATTTTTATCATCTCCATGAGAAATAATCCATGTCCTTTAACATCTCTTTAAGTTCTCACTGTCCCACCTTTTAATCATCTTTGTTGCTCACCTCCGGACTATTTCTTGTGGTGATACCTTTAAACTTTTGTTAATAAGGAGCTAACCTCTAAAAAATCATAAAACTGAGGGGGGCTATTTGTTTGGGAAACCAGTGTGGGTTGTTTGTCATTTAACAAATCTCTATCTAAGAACTGGTCAAAACATTATTTAAACTGCAGGAACACTACCCAATATATAGTAAAAACATTCCTCATAATACGAGTCACAATATGCATACGTACTTTTAGTTTTCTGCTCTTCATTTATATGAAAACCTCCTCTCTTGGTAAGTGCCCAGTTCCATAGGTTTACTGCTATTTCTTCAATCTGGTCAAAGAGAAACATTTCCTTAGCTAGTTAAAATACTGTCCACCTCCAACGGTATTTTCATTCTTGAATGTTGTATGCTTATGTAACTATTGTGGGTCATTTCGAGGCCATTCATAATCTAGTCCCATTCTACCTCTGCCCCCAAAAACGTACCCACTGTTAATTATCTCACTATTTCCTGAACAAAATTTATTCATTCCTATCAATGTGTCTTTATTCATACTGCTGGCTTCACCTGATATACCTCCTCCCTTTGTTTTTATGTAACTCAAATCCATTTCAGTCTTACCAACAACACAAATGAAGCTTTCAGCAACCATTGCAGTCTACATTGATTTTTCTTCTTTGAACTCGTATATTCATTAAGTTGTATACAATTTGGCAATTAATTATATTACTTTGTATCATTTACTCTTTAATTGTTTTAGTTTTTAGTTTTTGGGGTTTTTTTGTTTTTTGAGATAGAGTTTTGTTCTGTTGCCCAGGCTAGAGTGAAATTACTTGATCTCGGCTCACTGCAACCTCTGCCTCCTAGGTTCAAGCAATTCTCCTGTCTCAGCCTCCCAAGCAGCTGGGATTACAGGCACCTGCCACCACGCCCAGCTAATTTTTTGCATTTTTAGTAGAGACAGGGTTTCACCATGTTGGCCAGGCTGGTCTCGAACTCCTGACTTCAGGTGATCCACCTACTTCGGCCTCCCAAAGTGCTGGAATTACAGGCGTGAGCTACTGCACCCAGCCATGTTTTAGTTCTTAGTCTCATTTCTTAACTAGATTCCTTGATATCATACATCATTTCTTATACAACTGATGTAGCACTTACCGTACTGATTTGTTATTTTGTTATGTTTTGTTCTGGGGACTAGGAGGAAGTTTGTTTCTTTGGGGGCTTATCTTTCTATTAGGTAGAAACTAGTCAACAGGATACAAAACTAAATTAAGCTCATAGTGTCTCAAGAAAAAATGAAGACACAAAACATGCAATTGGGGATAGGTTGGTTTCTGGCAAGAGATCTCTGAAGGCAATAATTGGTCCTAGATACAGTAGTACTATTGCCTGAGATCAATATGGCATAGCCCTGGCCTAAATCTCCCAGTATGCTATGGTGAGTATGATAGAAGCTATATGACATTATCTTATAATAAATATATCAATAGCAGTATATGACTAAGACCAAAAATAACTGGATACACCAAAATAACCTAATTTATGCACAGCAATGGTACAAAATTGTATGTCAGTTTAAAGTCTTTTCTTCCACACCACTTTTCTCACCTACAGTTCCACATTTTTCTGATGAACTTCAGTTTAAACAGATGATTTATTCAGCATGTAATATAGTTTGGATATTTTTCCCCTGGGAATCTCATATCAAAATTTGATCCCCAATGTTCGAGGCAGGACTGATGGGAGATGCTTGGGTTACAGAGGTGGATCCCTCATTGTCTTGGTGCTGTCCTCACAGTAAAGAGTGAACTCTCAGTCTGTTAGTTACTACAAGATCTGATTCTTAAAAAAAGAGCCTGGTACCTCCTCCTCTCTCTTTCGTCCTCTCTCATCATGTGATACCTGCTCCCTTTCTCTTCCCACCATGATTGGAAACTTCTGAGTCCCTTACTGGAAGCAGGTGCCATGCTTCTTATACGATCTGCAGAACCATGAGCCAAATAAACTTCCTTGATGAAACAGTATTCATCCATTTAAAATAGTGCTCATGACCGGACATGGTGGCTCGTGCCTGTAATCCCAGCACTTTGGGAGGCCGAGGCAGGTGGATCATTTGAGGTCAGGAGTTCGAGACCAGCCTGGCCAACATGGTGAAACCCCGTCTCTACTAAAGATATATTTAAAAAAAAAAAAAAAAAAAGCAGGGTGTGGTGGTACAAGCCTGTAATCCCAGCTACTCGGGAGGCTGAAGCAGGAGAATTACTTTAACCAGAGAGACAGAGGCTGAAGTGAGCCGAGCTCATACCACTTCACTCCAACCTGGGTGACAGAGCAAGACTCCACCTCAAAAAAACAAAACTAAAAATAAAATAGTGGTCATGAAAACTATGTTTTTAACACCAGAATATATTTATTACATGTCTGATGAAAAAGGAAAGAAGGAAAGATACTAAATTGTATGTACAAAAAATTGTACATATGTAAATCTTACCTCAAAAAAGAACTTTAATAAAATATTGGATTCTAGTTAATGATATGTGCACTAAAACATTTAGGGGGGGAAATGTACTGTTCTCAGCAACTTACTTTAAAATGCACCCAAAAAATAAGATGGGTTGATTAACAAATGTATATGTGATAAAGCAAATATGGCAAAATGTTTACAACTGTAGAATGTAAGTGGCTGTTATACAGATGCCCAGTGTAATAGTCTTTCAACTTTTCTGTTTGAAAACGTTTCTTTTAAAATGTTGGGAAAACAGAGAAAATTGCCTTTTATGATGCCAAAAATATTACATCTACATTATAATTACAGCTAAATAACATTTAAATAGAAAAACTATTAAAGAAAATATGTTAAAATAATATTAGTTATATTGAAGTGGTATGTTTGCATGTGATTTTTGTATCAATTTTTTAAAACTTTCTGTAAAGTTATGTTACTTTATGATTTTAAACAATGTTTTTGTATTTTCTCATATTGTATTAGAAAGGGTAAGATAAACTATGATTGTAAATACTTCATAATCCCAAAACACATATACACTCAACAAGTATGTATTAAGCACTTAAGATGTGGCAGGTTTTGTCATAGGTTTATATAAATGTATAATGATCAACATGGTAAATACATGCTGCAAACAGAAGTAAATAATACAAAGATTAGGCTTTCCAGAAAGAAAATAAATTCAAGGCATTTCCAAAACCAAGCGGATCTTCTTGAAAAATAAGACCAAACTCTTGTGGCTCATGACTGTAATCCTAACACTAGGCGGCCAAGGCGGGCAGATCACTTGAGCTCAGGAGTTCAAGACTAGCCTGGGCAACATGGAGAAACCCCATCTCTATGAAAAGTACAAAAAATTAGCTAGGCATGGTGGTGCACGCATACAGTCCCAGCTACTTGGAAGGCTGAGGCAGGGGGATCACTTGATCCCAGGACGTCGAGGCAGCAGTGAGCCGAGATCACACAACTGCATGCCAGACCAAGACACCGTCTAAAAAACAAAAAACAAAACCCAAACTCTTGGCGCTGAATCTTATAATTTGTTTTCACTAACAGCTAGGTACAATAAGAAGAGTTTATGATCTAAAAAGAGATTTACAGCCAGGCACAGTGGCTCACGCCTGCAATCCCAGCACTTTGGGAGGCCATAGTGGGTAGATCTCTTGAGGTCAGGAGTTAGAGACCAAACTGGCCAACGTTGGCAAAACCACGTCTCTACTAAAAACACAAAAATTGGCTAGGTGTGGTTGTGTTTGCCTATAATCCCAACTACTTAGGTGGCTGAGGCACGAGAGTCACTTGAACCCAGGAAGCAGAGGTTGCAGTGAGCTGCCTGGTTGACAGAATGTGGTTGTCTCAAAAAAAAAAAAAAAACCTCACTGAGATACCACGTCACAGTCACTAGGATGACTACTATCAATTAAAAAAAAAAAAAAAAACAGAACAACAAGTATTGGTGATAATGTGAAGAAACTGGTACCCTTGTTCACTATTGATAGAAATGTAAAATGGTACAGTTGCTATGAAAAACAGTATGCCGGTTCCTTAAAAAATTAAAAACAGATTTCCCATATGATACAGCCAATTCCAACTCTTGGTATATATCCAAAAAATTGAATGCAGGGATTTGAAGGGAAATTTCCATACCAATGCTCATAGCAACATTATTCACAATAGGCAAAAGGTGGAAGCAACCTGTGTCCATCAACAAATGAATGGATAAACAAAATGTGGTATACACATACAATGGATTATTCAGTCGTACAAAGGAAGGAAATTCTGACAAATGCTGCAACATGAATGAACCCTGAAGACATTATACTAAGAGAAATAAACCAGTCACAAAAAGACAATTATTATATAATTCCACTTACATGAGGTACCAAGAGTAGTCAAATTTATAGAGACAGAAAGTAAAATGGTGATTGACAAGCTGATCCCAAAATTCACAAGAATTTTAGAGGGCAAGGGGGAGTTGCTTAATGGGTATAGAGTTTCAGCTTTGCAAGATGAAAAGCGTTCTGGAGAATGGCTGCACAACAATGTGAACATACTTAACACAAGTGAACTATACACTTAAAAATGGTAAAGATGTTAAATTTTATGTTATGTATATTTTACCACAATAAAAAACACAATGATATAACACTTCATACCCACTAGAATGACTATAATCAAAAAGACAAATAATGACAAATGTTGGCAAGGAGGTGGAAAAACTGGGTCCTTCATATACTGCTAGTGGTAACGTAAAATGGTGCAGCCACTCTAGAAAACAATCTGGCAGTTCATCAAAAGTTTAGCAATTTCATTCTTAGGTACAAACCTAAGACAAATAAAAACATAAAAATCTGTACATAAGTATTCATAGCAGCATTATTCATAACAGCCAAAAGGTGGAAGCAATAAAAACGTTCATCAATAGGTGAATGGACAAACAAAATATGGTATATCCATACAATGGGATATTGTTCAGTCATAAAAATGTATGAAGTACAGATACATGCAACAACATGGATGAACTTTGAAAACATTGTGCTAAGTGAAAGCAGTCAGTCACAAAAGCACACATTGTATGATTCTGGTTATATAAAATGTCCTCATTAGGCAAAACTATACAGACCAAAAGTAGACTAGTGATTGACTAGGGATGAGAGTGACGGAGGGAAGAGGATGGGAGGAAATGGAGAGTGCTTGTGAATGGGTGTGAGGTTTCTTTTTGAGGTGATTAAAATATTCTAAAATTAACTAACTGTGGTGATGGGTGCACAACAACTCTGAAATACTAAAAACTATTGAATTGTATACTTGAAATGGGTGAATTGCATGGTATGTAAATTATATCTAAATAACGCTATTTATATATACATAAACACATATGTAATATATAAATATATATATATATAAACAGGGAGACAGGTTTGCAATAAACTTTCTTCTCACCTTTCCATATAAGTAGTCACCAAATGGAAGTATTTGCCCAAGGTAAATGTTCTCAAAAGTGTTTCAGAGTCTCAAGACGATTTCCGTATTAAGTAAGTAACAGACCTTCATTTAAACATTAGAAAATTACCCCCCAAAAAAGCAATTCTGAAGGCTTATAGTCAACTGAGTTCTCCACTACTGGGTGGCTCAACTACTTTGCTGCAAAGGGAAGGAAAAGAGAACTAGTATGTGCCCAGGACCTTATATATGTTATTTTGTTTACTATTCACAACACTTGGAGGTGGGTATTACTATTATCATTTAACAGATGAGAAAACGGAAGCCTGGAGAGGTTAATAAATATTAATCATGCATAATATTACTAATAAATAAATAAATAATAAATTAAACTTGAGCACATATTTTTCAATTGGTTTCTAAAATTTTATTTTCCCTAAATTAGATGTGAGCATCCAAAATTAGACTTTTATATGTTTAGAAATGGTTAAGCATGAAGACCACTTTTTTACTTATATAATACATTGGTTAAAATGAAGAATCATCAAAACTTATCATAAACAGAATTATTTTTATACTGACCTGAGTGTCTGACATTTCAGCCATAGACTCCCTGTTGATATTTGCTATGTCGTTGAAGAGTCTATCAATTGCCTCTGGTACGTTAGGTGAATTATCATTTGTAACCAGGTTTTCAGTAACTTCTGAAATAATAATGGATGACAAATGTGCTGTGAACTATTACCATTGGCTAAAAGTAACAAATCATTTTTAAACATATTCCTAAGTCACTGGCCAAATGAATACAGCCTGAAGAAACTTGATCCTTAGAGTAAAACCAAACTGGAGATTTAAAGTTTCTTTAAGCTAGAGTATAGTTTCCAAATAAAATTTGCATTCTTTGGGAGTCACTTATTTATAACTTAATCATTACTTATTCTCAGAAAGTAAAATGCATTGACTTCATAAATAGTAATATTATTAAGGTAATCTTAAAAGTACCAAACAGGCCAAGCTTGGTAGCACACGTCTGTAGCCCCAGCTACTCTAAAGGCTGAGTTAGGAGGATCACTTGAATCCAGGAGTCCAAGACTACAGTGAGCTATGATCCTGCCACTGTACTCCATCCAGCATGGGCTACAGAGTGAGGCCCTTTCTCTAAAACAAACAAACAAAAAAACCCCTACAAAACCAAACTTAACAACATCTTCAAAACTAGAAAATGTAGAAATTCTGAAAGAAGATCCACATATGTGCGCTGTAAAACTGAAAAACTTACTAATGTTTTCAAGCATTAGACAGACATAACTAACTGCTGGCTCTGAAGCCTTGACCTTACTTTGTGAGAAAAAAATGACATGCTCAATTAGTGACAACATTAACCAGCTATTGAATCTGCACAAATGATGTCACCATTTTCTAAGTGGTCTGAGCTCCAGACTCCGTATAGCTGAATCTTACTAGACCATGGAATTCCTTAAAACCCAAGCATTAGCTGAGCATGATGTTCCACACCTATAGTACCAACTACTCAGGGGTCTGTGGCAGGAGGATCCCTTGAGCCGAGGAGTTTGAAACAGCCTGGGAAACACAGCAAGACACCATCCCAAAAAAACAAAAAACAAAACAAAAAAAAAACACCTAAAACTAAAACTCAGCCAGGCGCAGTGGCTCATGCTTATAATCCCAGCACATTGGGGCTGAGGCAGGCAAATCATCTGAGGCCAGAAATTCGAGACCAGCCTAGTCAACATGGCAAAACTCCATCTCTATTAAAAATATAAAAATTAGCTGGGCATGGTGGTGCCCACCTGTAATCCCAGCTACTGGGGTGGCTGAGGCACTAGAATCGCTTGAGCCTGGGAGGCTGATGTTGCAGTTAGCTCAGACCATGCCACTGAATTCCAGCTTGGGTGACAGAGCAAGACTCTGTCTTAAAAAAAAAAAACTAAAACTAAACAATAACCATGAAGTAGAATCACAATTGATGCCCTTCATATTATCAAAATTGAGGGTTTTTTTCAAACTCGTAACAGAAATGTCCATAAGCTACATAGTTCTAATTTCTTGCAACATTCCTGAGCCTCAAATTAGCAAAAATGTTATTAATATTCATAACAGTACTATAAAAGCACCTTTCAAAAGATTTTTAAACTGCTAAAATAAACAGAATTTTTACCCTGCTACAATAAACAACAAATCAGCTAAAAAAGTTTCAGTTAAACAAATGCTTGAGGTAGTAGCCTATCTACCCTGATGCAATCATTATACATTGCATGTCTGTATCAAAATCTCATGTATCCCATAAATATATACACCTACTATGTAAGCATACAAATAAAAATTAAAAATCTAATTAAACATAAGACTATAGATTCAGATAAAGACTTCACAAAGCAAATTATGTTCAATTATGTTAAAATACCACACATTTTAAACACGTTAGGTGAAAAAATATATATGAAAAGAAAAATGCAAAAATTAGCCAGGCGTGGTGGTGCATGCCTGTAGTCCCAGCTACTCTGGAAGATGAGACAGGAGAATCGCTTGAACCCCAGAGGCAGAGGTTGCAGTGAGCAGAAATTGGCCACTGCACTCCAGCCTGGGCAACAGAGTGAGACTCCATCTCAAAAAGAAAAGAAAAAAAAACCTCTATCTTTCTTTCTCCCTTAAATTGTTTAATGGAAAGACTGATATTAAATATCCTGACTTTTCTAAGATTAGGTAAATATTGGGCTGAGGGGCATATATTTATATAGCCCTTGTTCAAAATATTGATAACAGAGTCAGGGAGGTTTTTAAATTGATGTTTTTAAAAATACAAATATTGTTTAAAAACAGATTTTTAAAAATATTTTTGAAAACAAAATCCCAATATAAATTTTTTTTGTTTGTTTTGTTTTAAGACAGGGTCTTACCCTGTCACCTAGGCTGGAGTACAGTGGCCAATCTCAGCTCACTGCAACCTCCGCCTCCCAGGTTCAAGCAATTCCCCTGCCTCAGCCTCCCGAGTAGCTGGGACTACAGGCACATGCCACCAATATAAATTTTTAATTTGAGTTCCTTTAAAAAAAATCCTGGCTGGCCATGATGACTCACACCTATAATCCTAAGAGTTTGGGAGGCTGAGGTAGATGGATTCCTTGAGCTCAGGAGTTTGAGACCAGCCTGAGGTACATAGTGAGACTTCATCTCCACAAAAAATATAAAAATTAGCTGGACGTGGTGGCTCACATCTGTAGTTCCAGCTACTCTGTGGCTAAGGTGGGAAGATCACTCCAGACCAAGAGACAGAAGCTACAGTTAAGCTGTGATCATGCCACGGCACTCCAACTGGGCAACAGAGCAAGACCTTGTCTTTCAAAAAAAAAAAAAAATCCTAAGATGTTATTGTAGAATACCAATTATAGTTTTTGGTTACATAGTTTATGAGACTATGAAGACATGTATTTTGATTCGTGAATGTTCTCTTAAATGGTTAATGTTTTATTAACTCATTTTTGTCTTAATAATTCTGGTCCTTTCGACACATGCACACGAATGTTCATTGCAGCACTGTTTACAATAGCAAAGACCTGCAAACAACCCAAATGCCCATCAATGATAGACTGGATAGGGAAAATGTGGCACATATACACCATGGAATATTATACAGCCATCAAAAACGATGAGTTCGTGTCCTTTGTAGGGACATGGATGAACCTGGAAACCATCATTCTCAGCAAATTGACACAAGAGCAGAATATCAAACACCGCATGTTCTCACTCATAGGCGGGTGTTGAACAATGAGAACACATGGACACAGGGAGGGGAGTACTACACACTGGGGTCTGTTGGGGGGAAATAGAGGATGGACAGCAGGGGGAGGGGAGTTGGGGAGAGATAGCATGGGGAGAAGTGCTAGATGTGGGTGATGGGGAGGAAGGCAGCAGATCACACTGCCACGTGTGTGCCTATGCAACAATCTTGCATGTTCTTCACATGTACCCCCAAAACCTAAAATGCAATAAAATTAAAAAAATAAATAAATATATGGAAAATTGTTTACTCTTGCCAGTAATAAAATAAGTGCAAATAAAAAATTAATAATAATAATAATTCTGGTCCTTTCAAAACATATTTTCAGTGTTATTCGACTGAGCAACTTCACTGACACCAGCTGAGGCAATGACAGCATTGCAGTCCTTTAGCAGAAAATTCAGTCAGCAAAGCTGGGTAAGTGATAGAGATCACATAGCTGAAAGGTTGAGAATTACACTATGAAAAAGAGATTTGCATCTGGAAGAAGCTCAGAAAAGAAATTCTATTTTTTTTTGAGACAGGGTCTTGCTATGTTGCCCAGCCTGGCCTCAAACTCTTGGGGTGGGAGTGATCCTACCATCTGAGTAGTTGGCATTACAGGTGCATGCCACTGCACCTGATTAAAAGAACTTCTGTAAATGCAGTCTACGGCTGAGCAAAGCGTCTCATGCTTGTAACCCCAGCAATTTGGGAGGCCAAGGCAAAAGCATTGCTTGAGCCCAGGAGGTCGAGACTACCCTGGGCAACATAGGGAGACCCTCATCACTACAAAAAAATAAAATTAGCCAGCTTTGGTAGCCCACACTGTGGTCCCAGCTACTCGGGTGGTTGAGGTAGGAGGATTGCGTGAGCCTGGGAAGTTGAAGCTGCAGTGAGCTGTGGTCACACCATTGCACTCCAGCCTGAGCGACAGAGCAAGACTCTATCTCAAATACAAAATGCAGTCTACTCCCGAGATGAGAAAACAACAAACTGTATGAAGGTTTTATCAAGCAAGATTGTACATTTTGAGAAAAACTATTACATTATCTTCCTGGCTACAGAAAGAAACTATGATTTACAACATGATTTCCATCCATTTGATTTGAAATAAGATGCATCCTAGTTAAAACTAGGGGGTCACTCGATTGAGGCAGCCGTGTTAATCTGTATCAATTAATTCTGATTAAGTAGATGACATTCTAGGCACAGCATAATAGAAAATAAACATTTTCCCTGTCCTTGAGGAAGGAAGCTTCTGTTACAACATGTAAAAATCTATCAACAGTCCCGCCAAGTCTTTCCCTGTGACCTCCATCAGCTCAACCAGTCATTCAAAAGCCAAAGCAGCTCAAAGACCTGCCAAGATCAATTCAAGATTTTACTCCAAGTCACAATAATTATATACAACTTCTTTAGTGAGAAAAGAACCAGAAATGACAATAAAATTAACATTTGCACACTGCTTCCCAGTCTCAAATCTTTTTCACATGCATTCTCATTTAATCTTCAATCTATTCCGTAAGAAAGATATTTTTATTTCATGAGATGTGGAAACTAAAATTTAACAAAATGAAGTGACTTTTTAAAAATCAGGCCTCTTTGCTGGATGAAGTGACTTCTTGAAGGTGACAAAATAGAAAGCAGTAAGCTAGGACCTGAATTCAGGCTTTCTGATTTGAAATCCTGTGCTTTCCACTATACTGGTTATATCAGGAAGGATTTGGAACAAGTGACAAGGTAGGACACTCAGACAACTAAAAAACAGCAGAGAGGAAAGAAATGAGCCAAAAGCATTCAGAGTGCTACAGTATAGCTCTGATTGCGGGCTGAAGAAAACTATTCAAACTGCAGAGGTTGGTTTCAATGAGGAGAGCCAAAATATCAAAAACAGTGTCAAAAGGGCCTGGCAAAATCAGGCAAACAGGTTTAGTGAGAGACTAAAATTACGTTATAAATCATAATTTCTATCCACGGTCACAAAGATAACCATTTTCCTATATAATGTTCCAGGAAGTCCCAAATGACAAATTGGATATGGTACAAGAGAATCCAAGCAGCGAGTTATAATGCAGAAGTCAGATGGAACTGCATGTACCATAGTTTCGACAAATCTATTCACAGCAGTGTATTGTAGTTCTGAGCAGTGTCCTGATCCTGGAAGGTAAATAGGGATGGATGCAGGGCAGGCTAACCTCATGAAAATCATGACAAACACCTCCATAGATGAAAAAACTCCACCTCTTTGCTTCCTGCTGGGGAGGGAAAGAGTTGATCTGTGCCTCCAGTGCCCCAACTTCAACAGGGCTGCCAAAAGAACTTGCATATGTCTCACTACTCTTGAGGTTCTGATAGGTCTGGCAAAATCTAGCTGCTCAGGGGAGAATGGGAGACAGTGGCTTGAGCTGGTACATGCCATGGCTCCCCACTCTGGCTCAGCACAGAACAAGCAGACAAAAACCACAGCTTCCAGCTTCTCTCTGGGGAGAGAAAGAGGTGGTAGAGGCCCCAAGAATCTCTGGCAAGGCTAATTGGTGAGGGCCCTTCTGTGCAAGACAGGCCCACAAAGAATGAGAGAGGTGCCTTCTTTGTCTAACAGACAGGCACCAACAGTGGGTTAAGGAAAATGAAGAACCAGGCAAAGATGTTCCAAACAAAGGAACAAGATCATCTCCATAAACCAACCCTAATTAAATAGAGTTATATAATTTACCTGCCTGGCCAACATGGTAAAACCCCATCTCTACTAAAAAATACAAAATTTAGCTAGGGATGGTGTCAGATGCTTATAATCCCAGCTACTCGAGAGGCTGAAGCAGGAGAATCACTTGAACCTGGGAGGTGGAGGTTGCATCGAGCCAAGTTGTACCACTGCACTCCAGCCTGGGTGACAAAAGTGAGACTCTGCCTCAAAAAAAATTAATTATCTGAAGGTACAAACCTCACTGGTAATAGTAAGTACAAAAGCAAAAAACCACCATAACACCATTATAACACAATATGATAACACTGTGACTCTGGTGTATAAACTACTCTTATCCTAAGTAGAATGAATAAACAATGAACCAATCAAAAATAGTAACTACAACTTTTTAAGGCAGAGTACAATAAGATATAAATAAAAACAACAAAAAGTTAAAAAGCAGGTCAATAAAGTAATTAAGAAGAAAACTGAGGCCAGGCACTGTGGCTCATGTCTACAACCCAGCACTTTGGGAGGCCGAGGTGGGAAGATCACCTGAAGTCAGGAGTTCAAGACTAGCTTGGCCAACATGGTGAAATCCCATCTCTACTAAAAATATAAAAATTAGGCCGGGTGTGCTGGCTCACATCTGTAATCCCAGAACTTTGGGTGGCTGAGGGAGATGGATGACCTGAGGTCAGGAGTTTGAGAACAGCCTGGTCAACATGATGAAACCCATGTCTCTACTAAAAATATTTTTAAAAATTAGCCAGGAGTGGTGGTGCACACCTGTAATCCCAACTATTTGGGAGACTGAGTCAGGAGAATTTCTTGAACCTGGGAGGCAGAGGTTGCAGTGAGCTGAGATGGCACCACTGGACTCCAGCCTGGGCAACAGAGTGAGACTCTGTCTCAAAACAAACAAACAAACAAAAATAAATAAATAAATAAAATAAAAATACAAAAATCAGCCACATGTGGTGGCAGGTGCCTGCAATCCCAGCTACTTGGGAAGCTGAGGCAGGAGAATTGCTTGAACCCAGGAGGTAAAGGTTGCAGTGAGCAGAGATCATGCCACTGCACTCCAGCCTGGGCAACAGAAGGAGATTCCATCTCAAAAAAGAAGAGGAAAAAGAAGGAGAAGGAGAAAGCGAAGGATAACAAGAAGAACAAGAAGAAGAAGAAAACTGAAAAATTTCTTGAAACAAATGATAATGAAAACACAACATACCAAACATATGGGATACAGCAAAAGCACTACTCAGAGTGAATTTTATCACTATGAGTGCCTACATCAAAAAAGAGAAAAAAATCCAAACAACTTAATGATGCACCTTAACTAGAAAAGCAAGAACAAGCCAAACCCAAAATTAGTAGAAGAAAAGAAATAATAAAGATCAGAATAGAAATAAATGAAATTGAAATGAAAAAAATACATATAAAAGATCAAAGAAGGCCAGGACAGTGATCACACCTCTGACCCCAGCATTATGGGACGCCAAGGTGGGTGGATCACTTGAGGCCAGGAGTTGAGACCAGCCTGACCATCATGGTAAAACCCTGTCTGTACTAAAAGTACAAAAATTAGCCTGGTGTGCCTGCAGTCCCAACTACTCAGGAGGCTAAGGCATAAGAATCACTTGAACCTGGGAGGAAGAGGTTGCACTGAACTGAGATCATGCCACTGCACTCCAGCCTGGGCAACAGAGTGAGACTCAGTCTCAAAAAAAAAAAAAAATCAGTCAAACAAAATTGTTTTTTTGAAAAGTTAAACTAAGCTGGCAAACCTTTTAGCCAGACTAAGAAAAACAGAGAGAAGATCCAAATAAATAAAATCAAAAATAAAAAAGGAGGCATTAAAACTGATACTACAGAAATTCAAAGGATCATTAGTGGCTACTATGAGCAACTATATGCCAATACATTGGAAAATCTAGAAGAAAAGGACAAATTCCTAGACACATACCTACCAAGATCGAACCAGGAAGAAATCCAAAACCTGAACACACCAAGAACAAGTAATGAGATTGAGGCTGTACTAAAAAGAAGTCTCCCATTAAAGAAAATCCTTGGACCCAATGGCTTCACTGCTGAATTCTACCAAACATTTAAAGACTGAGACTATTCCAAAAAATAGTAGAGGAGGGAGTACTTCTGTATTTACATTGCTAATAAAGACATACTTGACACTAGGTAATTTATAAAGGAAAGAGGCTTAATGGACTCACAATTCCACATGGCTGGGGAGGCTTCACAATCATGGTGGAAGGCAAAGGAGAAGCAAAGGCATGTCTTACATGGCAGCAGGCAAGAGAGTGTGTGCAAGGGAGCTCCCCTGTATAAAACCATCAGATCTCATGAGATTTTTTCACTATTATGAGAATAGCATGGGAAAGACCTGCCACCAAGATTCAATTACCTCCCACCAGGTACCTCCCATGACACATGGGAATTATGGGAGCTACAATTCAAGATGAGATTTGAGTGGGGACACAGCCAAACCATATCAACTTCCAAAATACCAAAAACAGACTAAGACACATCGAAAAAAGAAAATTACAGGCCAATATCTCTGATGAATATTGATGCAAAAATCCTCAACAAAACACTAGCAAACCAAATTCAACAATATATTAGAAAGATCATTAATCATGACCAAGTGGGGTTTATCTCTTGGATGCAAAGATGGTTCAACATACACAAATCAATCAATGTGATACATCATAACAACAAAATGAAGGACAAAACCATATGATTGCTTCAATAGATGCTGAACAAGCATTTGATAAAATTCAACATAGCTTCATGATAAAAACCCTAAAAAAACTGGGGATAGAAGAGACATACCTCAACATAATAAAAGCCATTTGCAACAGACACTGGCTAGTATCATACTGAATGGAGAAAAACTGAAAGCCTTTCCTCTGAAATACAACAAGGATGCCCATTGTCACCACTGTTATTCAACACAGTATTGGAAGTCCTAACTACAACAATCAGACAAGAGGAAGATATAAAAGTCATCCAGATTGGAAAAGAAGAATTCAAATTTATCCTTGTTTGCAGATGATATGATCTTATATTTAAAAAAAAAAAAAACCTAAAGACTCCACCAAAACACAATTAGAACTAATAAATTCAGAAAAGTTGCAGGATATAAAAATCAACATATAAAAATCAGTAGCATTTCTATATGCCAACAGTGAACAGTCTGAAAAAGAAAAAAAAAAGGATTCCCATGTTACAATACAATAACTTTGTATACAATACAATAACTTTGTATACAATACATTATGTGGCTAATACAATAGCCACACATAAAATTAAATACTTTGGAATTAACCAAATAGGTGAAAAGCTCTATAATAAAAACGATAGGCTGGGTGTGGTAGCTCACACCTGTAATCTCAGCACTTTGGGTATCCCAGGCGGGTGAACCATTTGAGGTCAGGAGTTTGACACCAGCTTGACCAACATGGTGAAATCCGGTCTCTACTAAAAATTAACTGAGTATAGTGATGCCTGCCTGTAGTCCCAGCTACTCTGAAGGCTGAGGTGGGAGAACTGCTTGAACCTGGGAGGTGGAGGTTGCAGTGAGCCATGATCACAACACTGCACTCTAGCCTGGGCAAAAAAGTTGGGAGGGGAGGGGAGTGGAGGGGAGGGGAGGGGAGAAGGAAGGAAAGAAGGGAGGGGGGGGAAAGAGAGAGAGAAAAGAAGAAAGAAAATCTAAAACACTAATGGGGGATCTGGCAAGATGGCCAAGTAGGAACAGCTCCAATCTGCAGCTCCCAATGAAACCAATGCAGAAGGCAGGTGATTTCTGCATTTCCAACTGAGGTACCCAGTTCATCTCATCGGGACTGGTTAGGCAGTGGGTGCAGCCCAGAGAGGGAGAGCAGAAGGAGGGTCGGATGTGTCTCATCTGGGAAGTGCAAGGAGCTGGGGGACCTCCCTCCCTCAACCAAGGGAAGCTGTGAGTTACTGTGCTATCTTGCCCAGGTACTATACTTTTCCCATGGTTTTGGAATCCGCAGATCAGGAGATTCCCTCATGTGCCTACACCACCAGGGCCCTGGGTTTCAAGCTGTTTGGGTAGACACTGAGCTAGCTGCAGGAGTGTTGTTTTTTTTTTCATACTCCAGTGGAGCCTGGAACCCCAGCGAGACAGAACTCTTCACTTCCCTGGAAAGGGGACTGAAGCTGGGGAGCCAAGTGGTCTCACTAAGTGGGTCCCACTCCCATGGAGCACATCAAGCTAAGAACTGCTGGCTCATAATTCTCACTGCCAGCACAGCTGTCTGAAGTTAACCTGGGACGACTGAGCTTGGGACAGAAAGGGGTGTCCGCCATTACTGACGCTTGAGCACACTGTTTGCCGCTGACAGTGCTAAGGAGGGCCAAGAGGTTTGGACTTCGCGGAACTCACCACAGCACAGCAGAGCAGCTGTGACCAGACTGCCTCTCTAGATTCCTCCTCACTGGGCAGGGCATCTCTGAAAGAAAGGCAGCAGCCCCAGTCAGGGGCTTATAGATAAAACTCCCATCTCCCTGGGAGATGAGCACCTGGGGGAAGGGGTGTCTGTGGGTACAGCTTCAACAGACTTAAACTTTCCTGCCTGCCGGCTCTGAAGAGAGCAGCTGATCCTGACAAGGAGGATTTTCCCAGCACAGAACTCCAGCTCTGCTAAGGGACAGACTGCCTCCTCAAGTAGGTCCCAGACCCCCATGCCTCCTGACTGTGAGAGACCTCCCAACAGGGGTCAAGAGAAACCTCATACAGAAGAGCTCTGGCTGGCATCAGGCCAGTTGCTTCTCTGGAACGAAGCTTCCAGGGGAAGGAGGAGGCAGCAATCTTTGCTGTTCTGCAGCCTCCACTGATGATAGTCAGGCAAACAGGGTCTGGAGTGAACCTCCAGCAAACTGCAGAAGACCTGCAGAAGAGGGGCCTTTTAGAAGAAAAACTAACAAACAGAAAGCAACGACATCAGCATCAACAAAAAGGACCACCTCATAAAAACCCAGTCCAAAGCTCATTAGCCTCAAGATCAAAGGTAGATAAATCCATGAAGATAAGGAAAAATAAGCACAAAATGCTGAAAATTTCAAAAACCAGAATGCCTCTTTTCCTCCAAATGATTGCAACTCCTCCCAGCAAAAGCACAAAACTTGATGGAGAATGTATTTTACGAATTGACAGAAGTAGGCTACAGAAGGTGGTTAATAGTAAACTCCTCTGAGGTAAAGGAGCATGTTCTACCCAATGCAAGGAAGCTAAGAACTTTGATAAAAGGTTACAGGAAATCCAGTTTAGAGAGGAACATGAATGACCTGATGGAGCTGAAAAACAGCACAAGAACTTTGTGAAGCATACACAAGTATCAACAGCTGAATCGATAAAGCAGAAGAAAGGGTATCAGAGATTGAAAATCAAATTACTGAAATAAGGCATGAAGACAAGATTAGAAAAAAAAAAAGAGTGAAAAGGAATGAACAAAGCCTCCAATAAACATGGGACTATGTGAAAAGACCAAACCTACGATTGATTGGTGTACCTGAAAGTGACAAGGAGAATGGAACCACGTTGGAAAACACACTTCATAATCTTATCCAGGAGAAGTTCCCCAACCTAGCAAGACACGCAAACATTCAAATACAGGAAATATGGAGAATGCCACTAAGATACTCCATGAGAAGAACAACCCCAAGACACGTAATTGTCAGATTCTTGAAGGTTGAAATGCAGAAAAACACATTAAGGGCAACCAGAGAGATAGGTCAGGTTACCTACAAAGGGAAGCCCATCAGACTAACAGTGAATCTCGCTGCAGAAACCCTACAAGCCAGAAGAGAGTGGGGGCCAATATTCAACATTTATAAATGAATAAATTTTCAACCCAGAATTTCATATCCAGCCAAACTAAACTTCATAAGGGAAAGAGAAATAAAATCCTTTCCAGACAAGCAAATGCTGAGGGAATTGTCACCACCAGGGCTGCCTGACAAGAGTTCCTGAAGGAAGCACTAAATATGGAAAGGAAAAACTGGTACCAGCCACTGCAAAAACACACCA